GGGGGAGGGAGGGAGGGCGCAAACAGCGAAAAATCATTGCCCCAGCAGCCAAAAGGACCGCTAACAGTGGCGATTTTCCGCTGAGGCGGTGGAATTACCACTGAGGCGGAAAATGGTCCGCGGTCCGGGGTGAAGAAGAATCCACAGGTTCACTGGTCCGACTTCGGAAGCCTATATCTTTTGATCTACATGGAATTTTGAGATGATTCAAAAACGAAAGTTGTAGCCCTTCGTGTCTAGGTTTCAGAAAGCTAAAGAAATCACAATTTGGACTTCTGTAAAGAGTGTTATGGCCAAAATACTGAAGCCTGTCACTGCCGTCAACATTTTTCCGCTGCAGTGGTGGATTTACCGCGGTCAGGGGTGCTCTACCGCAGTCACTGGTGATCCACCGCGGTCAACGGTGCTTTTTTGCGATCCGCTGTGAGGGAATCCGGAAGGTGCATTATAAATACGAGATTTGGGGGTTTTATTTCATATTTGGACCTAGGGAGCTCGGTTCGTGGCGATTTTTTGACGATTTTTCAAGAAATTCATCGGGGTAAGTGATTCTAACTCGGATTTGGCCAAAATACATGAATCTATCATTGATTTTATCATTTGATTAGTGATTTGGGGTGAAATTGGAGAATAATTGTAAAAACTTCAAAAATGAATTTTTGAGATCCGTATGTCGATTCGGAGTCGGATTTGAGTTTAATTTGTATGGTTGGACTCGTAATCGAGTGAGTTATCGGATTTTGTGAGGTTGGTCAGATTTTGGGACGTGGGACCCACGGGCAAATTTTGAGCTAAATTTTGGATCTTGTTGGAAAATTAGTATTTTCATATGGAATTAATTTCTATAATCAGTAATGACTGAATTGAGTTAATTGTGTCTAGATTTGAGACGTTCGGAGTTCGCTACGCGCGTGATGGAATTCTTGGAGCATCGTTTGGCTTGCTCGGCGTTGGAATTGGCTTGTTTGAGATAAGTAACTCTTTTAAACTTAGTGCTGAGGGTTTATACCCCGAATTATGTGCTACGTGATTCATGTTGAGATGACGCACATGCTAGTTGACGGGCGTGTGGGCGTGCACCCTGTGAATGGTGACTCTATTGTTTCCAGGACATAGTGTAGTGGTCTTACTTTGTTGACATCTGTGTTTTCACCATGTGATAAGTAAATTGAGCTTTACATCATGCTAGATATCATGTCTAGGCTTTATGCCGATATTGTTGGGACCCATAATGGTCGTTTCTTGCTGTCATCTCACTGATTTCATTGATATTTCATACTCAGTCATATTCATATATTTATATAACATCTCGGTCTCAGTTGTGATTATTGATACATTATATCATCATTTTTGGGATGATTTTCATGAACTTTTGAGCCCGAGAGACTAGAGAGATTGATGACTGAGCGAGGCCGAGGGCCTAATTGTGAGGATGATTATGGGATCGGGCTGCACGCCGCAACATGTTGTTACTGATTTATGATTGAGTGAGGCCGAGGGCCTGATTGATTTATGCCACAAGATGTCTTGTTATAGTGCTTGGGCTGAAGGAGCCTCTCCGGAGTCTGTACACACCCCTAGTGAGCGCAGGTACCTACTGAGTGCGAGTGTCGAGTGACTTGGGAGGATTGAGTGACTGTGAGGCATGAGTGACTGTGAGGATTGAGTGACAGGGAGGACTAAGTGACTGAGAGGATTGAGTGACTGTGAGGACTGAGAAACAATGATACAGTGAGAGTATGCATATGGTTTTATCACTATTTTGCCTTGCATTGGCATGCACATTGACATATAGGCATAGAGATGTACTTTCCTCATGCCATTTGAAAAATGAAATCTCCTATTTTGAAAGAAAGTTTTATGGAAAAATCACAATTTTCATACTTACTCATATTTTGGTGATTTCAGTAAAAAGAATTGAGTTTTACTGTTATACTTGAAAAGAAAATATTTACTTTTCCTGAACTGTGAACGAGCTGAGCATTTTATTATTAAGTTATTCCTTGTGTTGTTTATGAATATTGTTGTGAAGTATTAATGGATATGGGTGTGGACCCTGACCTTGGTACAAGCTCATCACTGCTTTCAACCTAAGTTTAGGTTTGTTACTTATTGAGTACATGGGGTCGGTATTACTCATACTACACTTCCTGCATATTGCGTGCAGATTTTAGATGTCGTTGTTGCCGTGTTCAATGAGAGCTGATTTGGAAGATGTACCGATGTCCCTGTTGTAGCTGCCTCTTGTTCATGGTAGCCTTAGATTCATTAAACTCTGTTTATGTACTTTTCAAACAGAAGATGTATTTGTTTTCATATCAGTCGGTAAATTCTACTCATAGAAGCTCATGATTTGTACTACCAGTCCTTGAAAAATATAATAGGTCAAGATAATATATTCTATTTAATGGATTGATTAACATTATTGAGATTGGAGAGTATTAATTGGCTTACCTAGCGGGTTGGGTAGGTGCCATCACGACTAGTGGATTTTGGGTCGTGACAAGTTGGTATCAGTGCTCTAGGTTCATAGGTTCTACAAGTCATGAGCAAGTGTCTAGTAGAGTCTTGCGGATCGGTATGATGACGTCCATACCTATCTTCGAGAGGCTACATGACATTTAGGATATACTTCTCATCTTTCTTTCCTTATCATGTGGCATTGATTCAGCTTGAAGCGTAATCCTTTGCATTCCTTCCACGTATTCGTATGCACATATGAACGCTCGGTATCAGTTTTCGACAGTTTGTGATTCCATGAATGATACACGAAAGATGATTATAGTGTACTGATGATGGGATAGTCTGGGAGACTTGAGGCCAGGTGTAGACCACAGCTTAGGCTCGGTAGTTTCAATTATGAAAACTTGTGCATTGGACTTATGTGTCCGGTAGTGTTCTTATGAGTTGAAATTGTGGCTCGATGAGCGGTTAAATGGTTATATGATGAGTATGAGGTGAATGCGGGAGGTGTTCAAATGGTTTGAAAGTGACAAAAAGAGTCTACTTGAGACGTAATGACTATTGAGTTTTGATTTCTGTCTTGTTTGACGTATAGTCTCGAGTTATGTGAGTAATTAAGGATTTTATTTTTCTCACATTGTGAAATTGTGGAACAAATTAAATTCTCATGAATTGTAAATGAGTTCAGACTTAGGGACATTAAATTATTGCGTAGTAATTGTGTTTGCAAAAAGGATATAGAAAAATGCCAACTTGAGGCTAAGCATGCGAGTTATCACTTGCGGAATAAACTACAAAGGTTTGATATTTACAATGTTGTGTGGTGAATTTTCTTTTCTACCCGTAGGTAGATGTATTGAGATTTGAATTTGAATTAGTCAAGAAAGTTGACATGACCATCACGAGAGTGAAGGAGAGTTTAGTAGATGAATTGAGGAACCATATAA